AAGATTTTATTACAAGCTCACAATCACGATTACAGGCATTTAGGGTACTGATATTTTCCAAGCCAAAATCTTCGAATCATGGAAGAGTATTTTCTACATTGTGTGTTGCTCTCCAAAGAGAAGGACACCTGGGATTGTATAAAGGAAATGGTGCAATGATGATTCAAATCTTTCCCTATGGTCGTGTTCACAGATTAACGGATGGATCCATCACAGGTATGACAGCAGTTATCTGTACTTACCTTCTTGACATGGTTAGAATACATTGAGCATTCCAGATGAAAGGGCAACACACCTACACAGGAATCATTCATGCATTCAAACCAATTTATGCAAAGGTGGTTTCCTTGGATTTTTACAAAGACTGATGCTCACTATATTAGGAATGGCTTCTTTTTTATGCATTACAATTCTTGTTACACATATAGAGTACAATTTTCATATCTTTGTATATAAAGTATGTCCCCGCCAATTCATGCCTTTATACATGAACTTTTTGTTTTTTTGCACTACAATTCTTATTATACATATATACCACAATTTTTCATATCTCTGTTTATATATAAAGTATGCTGTCACCCAATTCGAGTCTTCATACATATACTTTGGATGATGATGTCTATCGCATTCCACCATCCTTGCTAACCCCTTGCCTGCTTCCTTTTCCTCCCATCCCTCTGCCTTATCTAGAGTTCATCTATTCCTCCCATGCTCCCCCTCCCTACCCCACTATGAGTCAGCCCCCTTATATCAGAGGAAACATTCGGCATTTGTTTTCTTTTGTGGATTGGCTAATTGCCATCTTCTCCAATGCCACCCATTTACCTGCAAATGCCATGATTTTATTCTCTTTTATTGCTGAGTAAAATTCCATCGTGTATATATGCCACATTTTTTATCCATTCATCCACTGAAGGGCATCTAGGTTGGCTCCACAGTTTAGCTATTGTGAATTGTGCTGCTATAAACATTGACGTGGCTGTTGCAGGTGTTTCATTTTTTACTTTTGATTATCTTAAAGAGTGTTGGGCTTTCCCATGCTCTTACCCTTCTTAGCAGACCTTCATCAGACAATCCTAAAGTCATGGTGCTGAAAACACATTAACTTACATTGTGCTGGTGTTGCTGTTGCAACAACATAGGCAATATCATACCCATTTGATGTAACTCATCAGAAAATATAACTAGGAACTATTCCACCAGATTTTGAAAAGCACCTTACCTTGCGGGAGACTATGAACTATGTCTGTTGACACCACAGAATTTGAAAAGGATTATATTGTGGCTTATCCCTTAATTTCATTCTGTGTATTCCCTCTCAAGCAGTGGCTTTTACAACATATGAACTTATGAAGCCGTTTTTTCACCTCAACTAAAAAAAAATGTGGTTTGTGGTTTCTTTAATAAACTCTCAGAAAAATAAAAACATAGTGCTACTTTAATTGTGGAACAGGCATTACTTGAAAGAGGAAATTTATCTGTCACAGGAACCACTGACATTAGTACATGGTTTTTTTATTCACAAATCAAAAGTACTTTCTGATGCCAAATATTATGCTTTTTGAATATTGAAAAAATATTCCTAAAATGGTGATGACTAATTATAATCAGATTGTTGGAGACCATTTTAAAATGTTATTTGGAAGCAGAACTATCTTAAAATGGAGTTTAAGAGATTGCCATTGTAATGTTTTGAGCAACTAATAAAAAAAAATTTTTTAAAAAGAGATTTCCATTAGATTTATCATACTGTTCCAAACTTCCTCCTCCTCTTCCTCCTCTTCCTCCTCCTCCTTCTTCTTCTTTTTGCAGTGCTGGGGCAAAATCCAGCACCTCACAGATGCTAGACAAGAGCTCCATCCCTGAGCCAAATTTCAACACTCCTGTTTAAAGCTTTTGATTGTAATCATAATTTGGGGGAGGGGGGGGGTGCTGAGGATTGAACCTAGGGCCTTGCACACACTGGGCCTGCACTTGACAACTAAATGATACTCCAAGCCTATAGTCATGATTTTGTAAAGACTCTTAATGTTTTGTTTATATTGTTAAAATAAATGGGTTTGATTATATTGCAGAAGAGCAATGAGAACTGAATTTTACAGAATATAAAATATAAAATTCAGAATATAAAATATACCCAGCTTTGAAGTATAATTATTTCTCTTCTCATAATTCTGCTTCATTGGGAAAAAAGAATTTTTTTCTTCATTTTTTAGTAAAATAAATGTATTTAAAAACAGAGATTTGCTGGGCATGGTGGCACACACCTGTAATACCAGCAGCTTGTGAGGCTGAGGTGGGAGGATCATAAGTTCAAAGTTAGCACCAGCAATTTAATGAGGCCCTAAGAAACTTAGTGAGACCTTGACTCAAAATTAAAAAATACAAAGGGCTGGGGATGTGGCTCAGTGGTTAAGTGCCTCCAAGTTCAATCCTTGGTATCAAAAAAAAGTAGACTCAAGCTGGGTATGTTGGCACACACCTGTAATCCCAATGGCTCCAAAGGGTGAGGCAGGAGGATGGCAAGTTTGGCAACGAAAGGAAAACCTGTCTGGCGAGGCCAGTCTTGGCAACACAAGAAAAATCTATCTCAAAATAGAAAAGAATTAAAAAGGTCTGGGGATGTGGCTCAGTGGTAGAGCAACCCTGGGGTCAATCCCCAGTACAAAGAGAGAGAGAGAGAGAGAGAGAGAGAGAGAGAGAGGGAGAGAGAGGGAGAGAGAGAGAGAGAGAGACTCAAAAAAATGAAGAATCATCAAGTTTTGCTCAAATGTTATGACCAGTACCATGAGTGATTTGCTTGGTTTTTTTTTTAAATTCAGTGTTTCCCAAGGCAGTAATAATAAAACCTGAATATCTTGAGTTTCAAAAAGAGTAGAACTATACATATGATCTTATTAATACCTACTAGAAAATTATTTAAGTGGACTGTGAACTATCATCAATGTAGATGTGAGTATCAAAGAATGTATGTAAAATATCATGTCATCAGGATACTTCTTCCATGTAAAGTAGTACAATATAAAGTTAAATAGAAAAATAAGATATGATCTGTTCTATGAGACCAACCTAGGTGCCCTTTAACGATAAATGGATAAAGAAAATGTGGTATGTATTACTCAGTCATAAAGAAGAATGAAATTATGGCATTTGCCAGTAAATAGAACTAGAGACTATAATGCTAAGTGAAATAAGCCAGTCCCTCAAAAAACAAAAGCTAAATGTTTTCTCTGATATGTGAATGTTATCTTTTATATTAAGAAAAGTTTTAAATGTAACAATTTCATTTATTATATATAGATCACTTTTATGTTTTATTGTAAGCATGACAGAAATGGGCAGGGAACAATTAAAATTATATATTTAGAAATAGCAATTTATAGAATTAGTGTGATTTTTAAGACACCAGAAAAGTTAAAAGTGTTATTTCTGCACCAATTTTTTTTTTTTGCATAAAAGGTTTCTTGTCATAGTTTGGTAAAAATTTGATTAACTGGTTTCATTTTCCAAGTCTTTATTTTAAAAATAAATATGGGGGCTGAAGTTGTGGCTCAGTGGTAGCGTGCTTGCCTGGCATGCATGAGGCAGTGGGTTCGATTCTCAACACCACATACAAATAAATAAAAAAAATAAAGGTCCATCAACACCTTTTAATAAATAAATAAAAATATGTATCTTTGTATGATACAGTAGAAATACATGTGTTTCTAAAAATATTTTGTATATTTTCATTTCTGGGCCATACTATATAGGTAATTATTGTCATGAAATCTCGAAATAATTTAAATGTATAAAATCAGTGTGTTCATTGCTGTTGGGACTGCAAATTGGTGCAACCACTCTGGAAAGCAGTATGGATATTCCTAAAAAAAAACTATAAATGGAACCACCATTTGACCCAGGTATCCCACTCTTCAGTATATATCCAAAGGATTTTAAATCAGCATGCTACAGTGATGCAATCACATCAATGTTTATAGCAGCTCAATTCACAATAGGTAAACTATGGAACCTAAGTGTACTTCAACCTATGAATATAAAGAAAATGTGAGATATATATATATATATATATATACACACACACACACACACACACACACACACACATACACACACACACATAATGGAATATTACTCAGCCTTAAAGGGGAATGAAATTATGGCATTTGCCAGTGAGTAGATAAAGCTAGAGAATATCATGGTAAGCAAAATAAGCCAATCCCAAAGAACCAAAGACCAAATGTTTCCTCTGATATGTGAATGCTAACTCACAAAAAGGAGGGGGGTGTCTATACTTCTAAGGAAGAATAGAAGTACTTTGGATTAGACAGAGGGAAGTGAAGGGAGAGGAGAGGATATGAGGGTAGTGAGGATAGTAGAATGAATCAGACATAATTACCCTATGTGCATATATGATTGTATGACCAGTATGATTCTACATCATGTACAACCAGAAGAATGAGAAGTTATACTCCATTTATGTATGATGTGTCTAAATGCATTCTACTGCCATGTATAAGTAATTAGAACAAATAAAAATAAGTATGTCGGTTTTGTTATTAATTAAAAAAAACTGCAAATATTTTAAAGTTAAAAAATGCATTCTATGTCAGGGATATTGAATTTATTTAAAAAAAAAAAACAGTACCAAAGTGGGGAGCCTGCTATCTCTTTCACTTGGCTCCTATTGTCCTCCCCAAGGGCCCAATAAAAAGTGTTTTCTTAACCTTGTTCACCTCATAACTCCTGGGCATAATCAGATGACAATAGAAGGTCCTGTCCGGCAAGGATGTTCCTGCTCCAAGGCACTTGTGTCAGTCTCTTGTTCTCCTTCCCCCCCGCCCCCATAACCCTGAGTAGAGGCTCAGGTGAAACTGCCCACAGGGCCTTGACTGAGTAGACTGTGGTTGGTAACTTTCCTGGGACCTGTGCCCTAAGTTAGTCAGTTTCATCCCATGAGATCATGCAATCAGACCAAACTCAGCAAAACAACTTCTGAAAACACAAAAAAGCTTTAATTCTGTAATCTAGCTTCCAATGAGGTTTACAGCCATACTGCTAGACAAGAAGGAGCTAAGTGTCCCTATCTCCTGGGCTCTGTGCAGCCCCATGCTTCTATCCTCCCCCTTCCCACACCAGCCTCTCTGAGTGAAACCTTGTCTTCAATTCAGGTATACATGTCCTGGGGCATCTGGGATCCTGAAGCAGCAGGATCCTTTTCTTCCCTGCTCTCCCTCTCCATCTTTTCCCTCTCCATGCTTTGGGGACCCACAGCACAGAAATACATTGCCTCATCCTCAGACTTCAGTTTGGAGATGATTAAATACCCACGGTTCCTGGCCACATCTTTTGATCCAGAGTAGCGATGGGGGACATTGGGACCCCAGTGCTGATCTGAGTATGAGAAGTATCTTAGCAAGAACCTTGGAGAGTTGCCCAGCCTCTGTTGGTACCAGTAGATGCTATAAACACCAATGTTATAGTTGCTGCTCAGGGTGCAGGTAAGGCGGACTGTGGTTCCAAGAGGTGAAGACATGGATGGTGGCTGATGCAGCACAGGCTGAGGAACACAACCTGGGAACACAGAAGCATGTGGGTTACCCCACGGAGGCAGGGCAAAGCAAGAGAGGGAGCAGAAGGCTTTGGACACTGGGAGTTCCCTCACCTGTGCAGTAGACTAACAGCATGAGCAGGACGGGAACCCAGGACATGGTGCAGACCGGCAGAACTCTACTTCCCGAGGCTACTGCTCCTGGGGCCTTTGTAGGATAAGCCAGCCTCTTCCTCCCTGCTCCAAGGGGAGGAGCCATTGCAACCCTAGTTCCTACTCACTACCATCCCAGACTTTCTTGGGTTGGCATTGTCAGTTAAAAGAACGGTCCCACGGCAGGCTTTGTGGCTCTGGCCTTGCCATGTGGAAGGGTTTGGGGAGGAAGCACCTGCTGAAAGCTTACAGATCAGTGCCTAGGAGGTTGGCTGGTGAACTCAGGTCCCTGAGGGAGAGTGACATCAATTCCCCCTTGAGGAAGCTAAGCCTCACAGAAATAAGTTTCTCATCCAAATGTAGATGCCTAGTAAAATGGAGAGGACCCATCCTCAGGGTGGTTAAAACACCTGCAAGTGTTGGGGATCCTGAAGACAGTGGGACGCTCTGTGCCTTTCCAAAACTCAGTAACACCTTTAACCTGGCTCTTTCCCCTCCTAGGACAAGGTGGAATGATTGGACTTCAAGAGAAAAGTACCAGGGGACCCAGAATTATTCCTCTTCCTGCTCTCAGCTCACTAAGGAGACACATTTTTGGCCCTGTTGTAGACTAAACTATGTCCCCCAAATTCACACATTGAAGCCATAACCCCCCAGTGGGACTAATTTGGAGAGAAGACCTTTATGGAAGTAATTATGGTTAAATAAGACCATAAGAATAGAGCCCTGATCCAGTACATCTGGTGTCCCTATAAAAATAAGAAATTTGAGCTCAGATACAGGGAAGCTGATAAGTGATGTAGAGAGGAGAAGGTCATCTTCAAGCCAAGAGAAAAATCTGGAACATATCTTCCTTCAAAACCCTCAGAAGAAATCAACTTTGCCAGTAACTTGATTTGGGACTTCTGGCCTTTAGAATTGTGAGACAATTAATTTTTGTTATTTAAGCCTCTTAGTTAATGGAACCTTGTCACTCAGGTCCTAGGAAACCAGTACAGAAGTTTCTTAGTTCATTTGGGCTGCTACAACAAAATACCATAGGTTGGGCAGCTTGTAAATAACAGGAATTTCTCACAGACCTCAAAGTTGTGGGGTAGGGGGATTCTACTATCAAGACATTGGTAGATTTGGTGTGTGGCAAGGACCTGTGTCTTGGTTCAGAGTAGATTGGGTTCTCGCTACAATCTCATGTGGTGGAGAGGCAAGAGACCCCTCTTGGCCTCTTTTGTAAAAGTACCAATCCTGTTCATAAGGATTCTTCCCTATAACATAATCACCTCCAAAAGGCCCTGCTAATGACACATTGGAGGTGAGGATCAACATGGGAATTTGGGGAGACACAAACATTCAAAACATAGCCAGAAGTAATTCTAAGATGGCCCCGAAGTTCTCTTTTCCCACAGGCTCACTCAAAAGCTGGAGTCAAAGTTTCTCCTTAAATCTGCACAGCTCTATGACTATGGGTGAAGTGACCTTATGTGCTCTATATGGCACTGAGCAGCTGGGAAAGCACCAGTCCTCTCTTTCTCATAAATATTTGGCTAATTAAATTTATTATTCCCTAATATTAGTTCTATAGAGCCTTGAGCTTCCCCTTTTTCTTTATTTCCCTGACAAGGAGCAGACCTCACTCAAATTGGTCAGCTAGGGCAACTAAAGGAGATGTGTCCTTCTTCCTGCTGCCTCTCTGGCCAACCGCAAAATCGGCTCTGGTGAGGGGTGAGGAGAATCACAGCAGATATAGGACATCTTGATCACCCCTTGTCCAGTCACGGCTGCAACCATAAAAATGATCTGTCACTCTTCCCTCCTCAGCACAGGATGGTGGACACTGGGAAACTGACCAGAGAGTAAAGGAGAAAGGAAGCTTTGCTCATTCAAGCATCCATTCCCTCATCCAGTTGTTCATCCATGTGTTGTGCATGTATTCATGAAAAAGAAGTAGCATCTCCCAGAGCACCCAGTCCTTGAGAATCAGGGCTGGAGACCGTGCCACTTGTGAACATCAAAACAACTGAATCCCCACAATCTGGTCCCACCATAGTCACTGTCAGAGCTTTTTGATCCTTATAAATCTCAGAGAAAGTAAGTAGTTCCACTTTCACTTTTAGGTATACACATCTAGTTTTACTGAGACAATGAGTAAGCTGAGAACCTCCCATTAACCTTATAGAAACCCTGACCCCAACTTTGTTCTTGTAGACTTAACCCCGGCATCCCAGGGTGTGATGCCTCTTGCTTCACTTTTCTTGGTAAGGATTGCTTTGGCTATTCTGGGTCTCTTATTATTCCAAATGAATTTCATGACTTTTTTCTTTCTATTTCTATGAAGAACGACATTGGACTTTTTTTTTTTTAATTTTTTATTGTGGGTTGTTCAAAACATTACAAATTTCTTGACATATCATATTCCACACTTTGATTCAAGTGGGTTATGAACTCCCACCTTCACCCCATACACAGATTGCAGAATCACATCAGTTACACATCCATTGATTTACATATTGCCATACTAGTGTCTGTTGTGCTCCGCTGCCTTTCCCATCCTCCACCCTCCCCCTCCCCACCTCTCCCCTCCCCCTCCCCACCTCTCCCCTCCCCTCCCCTCCTCTCTCTCTCTACCCCCTCCACTGTATAACCCTGAGGGTCTCCTTCCATTACCATGCAATTTCCCTTCTCTCTCCCTTTCCCTCCCACCTCTCATCCCTGTTAAATGTTAATCTTCTTCTCCTGCTCTTCGTTCCTACTCTGATCTTAGTTACTCTCCTTATATCAAAGAAGACATTTGGCATTTGTTTTTTAGGGATTGGCTAGCTTCACTTAGCATAATCTGCTCTAATGCCACCCATTTCCCTGTAAATTCTATGATTTTGTCATTTTTTAATGCAGAGTAATACTCCATTGTGTATAAATGCCACATTTTTTTAATCCATTCGTCTATTGAAGGGCATCTAGGTTGGTTCCACAGTCTTGCTATTGTGAACTGTGCTGCTATGAACATCAATGTAGCAGTGTCCCTGTAGCATGCTCTTTTTAGGTCTTTAGGGAATAGACCAAGAAGGGGAATAGCTGGGTCAAATGGTGGCTCCATTCCCAGCTTTCCAAGAAATCTCCATACTGCTTTCCAAATTGGCTGCACCAATCTGCAGTCCCACCAGCAATGTACAAGTGTACCGTTTTCCCCACATCCTCGCCAGCACTTGTTGTTGTTTGACTTCATAAAGGAATTTCATTAAATCTGTATAGTGCTTTTGGTAGTATGGTTATTTTGGCAATATTTTAGGTGGTTTGTCATGAAGCAGTAGATAATTAGAGTCTATAAGACATCAATAGATTAGGCAGGAGCATAGAGAAGTCTTTTGAATGTCTGTGGTCCTTGAGGACCTTGAGGTCTGTCACAGAGCTCAACAACTTTCTCTTGATTGATAGTTACTTAAAAGAGCTACATACAGAAGTGAAAATGATGAAATATATCATCTCCACTAAACTGCCAGGTTCTGAAGATGGCCCATGAGGCAGGATGTTGAGGGCAAAGCTGAAGGAACAGAGATGGGGCTAGCCGTGCAGGGCGAGGAGTTCAGAATGTGTGATCCCCATCTACAGCCAGATGCTCTGAGGGCCAAAATTATATCCAGCAGGATCTGGAAGGGCCAAGGCATTTCCCAGCACATGTGTTGGCCACTGGGAGCCAATCTTTTCAGAAAAGTGAAGCAAGAGGCATCACAGTACCAGATCTTAAATTATACTACAGCTATAGTAACAAAAACAACATGGTATTGGCACCAAAACAGGCATGAATAACAATGGAACAGAACAGAAGAAGACACAGAGACAAATTCAATAAATACAGTTATCTCATACTTGAAAAAGGTGCTAAAAACATATATTGGAGAAAAGTTAGCATCTTCAACAAATGGTTCTGGGAAAACTGGAAATATATATGTAGTAGAATGAAATTTAACCTCTGTCTCTTCACCTTGCACAAAACTCAATTCAAAGTGAATCAAATACCTAGGTCTTAGACCAGAAACCCTGCACATGCTAGGGAAAAAAAAGTAGGTCTAATGCTCCAACAAGTCATCTTAGGAAACAACCTCCTCAACAAGACTACTAAAGCACAAGAAGTAAAATCAAAAATCAATAAACAGGATGGTATCAAACTAAAAAGCTTCTTCACAGTAAAGGAAACAAAGTGTGAAAAGAGAGCCTACAGAATGGAAGAAAATCTTTACCACACACCTCAGATAGAACATTAATCTCCAGGATATACAAAGAACTCAAAAAACTTAACACCAAAAAAACAAATAAACCAATAGCCCATCAATAAATGGGCTAAGGAACTGAACAGACACTTCTCAGAAGAAGAAATACAATCGATCAACAAATACATAAAAAATGTTCAACATCTCTAGCGATTAGAAAAATGCAAATTAAAACTACACTAAGATTCCATCTCACTCCAGTCAGAATGGCAATTATCAAGAATACAAGTAACAATGTTGGCCAGGATGTGGGGAAAAGGGTACACTCATATGTTGCTGGTGGGACTGAAAATTGGTACAACCAATTTGGATAGCATTATAGAGATTCCTTAGAAAACTTAGAATGAAACCACCATTTGACCCAGTCATCCCACTCCTAAGTATATACACAAAGGACTTAAAGTCAGCATACTACAGTGATGCAGCCACATCAATGTTTATAGCAACTCAATTCACAATAGTTAATCTATGGAACCAACCTAGGTGTCCTTCAACAGATGAATGGATAAAGACAATGTGGTACATAATACACAATGGAATATTACTCAGCCATAAAGAGAAATGACTTGATGACATTTGTCAATATATGGATGCATCTGGAGAATGTTGTTAAGTGAAATAAGCCAATCCCAAAAAAACCAAAGGTTGAATGTTTTCTCTGATATGTGGATGCTAAGCCATAACAAGGGAGGGATAGAAGTTCAGTGAATTAGACAAAGGGAAAAAAAGGGAGGAAAGAGGGACCAGAATAGGAAAGACAGTGGAATAAATCTAACATAACTCTTATGCACATAAATGAATACACCACAGTGAATCTCCACATTATGTACAATCACAAAAATGGGATCATAATTAGAATAAGATATATTCCATATTTGTATAAATATGCCAAAATATACTCTACCGTCATGTATAACTAAAAAAAATAAGTCTAAAAAATTTTTAATAA